GTACTCTAGTATGTTGTCTATGTGACCCTAGTTTTTTTGTGCACAAATAAACTAGTAGTAGATGTCATTTAATGTAATTCATTCATACAACTTTATAGCCGTCATTTGCAGAATATAAATATATTCTCTCATTCTATTCATCTCTTTTAACCTTGTGCATCAACAATATCACATATAAAAGTAATTTAAATTTATTTTATCTCTCATTTGAAAAATAACTTATGTAAATTTCTTTTACAAGTATTTATTTTGATAAATATTTATTCTATAAGCTCTAAATAAACTATTTATCCAAATATACCTTTAATAGTTTAGTAGTATTTGCTTAAGATTTTTTACTTTATTAAAAAACACTATTTGTAACATTGGAATAAAAAGTCAATCATGGTATTTTATTGACTTATTTAGTCCTGAAGTCCCTTTAACTTAATTTCAGTTTTCACTTTGGTCCCTTATATAATAAACGTTATAGTGTAATCCCTTAACAATCGTTCCGTTAAACAACTCGATCCATTCTGTTAGTTTTGTTGCGAAAACGTTAAGTATGTTGATGTGGCATGCCAACAAGGATTGGCGTTCATTTGTGACTCAGCATATTGCATTTTATAAACCATGTAACCTAATTCTTTGTCCAATGCATTATTTTCACGTTAGGTTACTATTCATCATCTTCTTCCTACTTCTTCATTCTCCCTACTTATTCATTCATATATGAACAAATCAATAAACTCCCACAACAAATCGAAATCAAACATCCAAAGTTATGGGTCATTTGGATCTGTTGTGATAAAAAGAAAATAATGGAGTGTTGGTGTGAAGAAGAGTGTGTAATACGTACTGTTACAAATTTGAATAGTGTTAATGTTGGAAAAAGTTATGGGGTTGTAGAAATTACAAAAATCAACTGCAAAAAGGATTCAATTTTTTCAAGTGGGTAGGAGGTGCAGTTGTTGATGGAAGAGATTTGAAGATTGAAAGGCAAAGGAAGAAAATATTCAAGTTGAAGAACGAGGTCATGAGCACAAGAGGAATGTTGAAAAATGCAATTTTTGTTTGGCAATATTAGTTTAAGGTTTAATATAGTTTTTGTAACAATGTATTTAAAATAGATCTATGGGCAATACAACATGTAATTTGATGTTATGAATGTAAGAATGTTTGATTTTGCTTAAATGAAATAAGTTAAATGTTATAAAATTTTTCCAATGTTTAAGCATTCCTGTTATGGTTTGATATTGTTGGTCTGTAATGGTTATGTGATAACATCTAGTTGAACAAAATATTGCTTTAACAAAAAAAATGTTTTATAATTGGTCTGTTATGGATCTATGATAACATATAGTTGAACAAAATATTGCGCTAACAAAATGTTATGGATTATAACTGGTCCTTTATTGGTCTATTGCTTTAACTGGTTTGGTATGATATTGTTTTATAACTGGTCTATTTTGCATTATAAATAACAAGTTGATGAATCATGTAAATAACAAGTTGTCATTGCTTTAACAAAGTGTTATGGATATTACTTTAACAAAATATGTTGCTTTATAAAAGCATGTGTTTTTGTCACTGATACAAAAAGACAATATAATAGCATGTGTTCTTGACACTGGTATAAAAAGGTCATTGATATAAAATGGTAGTGATTCAAAAGGGAATTTGTTCTTTGCCACCAATACAACAAAACCTGAGTTAGTGTTCACAAAAGCCTAAATAAAGTGTTCATATGACACTGAGTTACACAGACATGAAAAATCAAAAGTGGATCAAGTTGCTTCAAGTTGAGTTGATGTTGCATGACTTGCTTCAGGCTGACTTGGTGCATAAGACTTGCATCAGGCTGAGATGCTTCAAGTTGACTTGGACCAGGCTGACTTGGTTCAGGTTGAGTGGTCTGACTTGGACCTGGATGTTTGCAGGTTGCTTTATTATGCCCCATCATGTGGCATCTACTGCACTTGATGCCAAAGTTAGCTCTTTTTAGCTGAGTGCCATCCCTTGTGCTCTATAAGGCATCTATAGTCCTCTTCTTCTTTGGCCTTCTAGGTTTCCTTTTGATTGGTGGTGGTTGTAACTCAACATAACCTTTTTTCTTCCAAAGTGATTCCCCATTGACTTGAAAAATGACAAATGCATAAAATGCTTCATACATTTGTCTTTTGTAGCACTCAAGCACATATCTTTCAATCTCTAATTTTTGAGATTTCATGCAAGATATAGCATGACAATATGGTAAACCTGTCAACATTCATTTTTTTCAAGAACACACCTTGGTTGACAGATTCACAGTGTATTTTTCTCCATTATATGAGATGTGTCTCACCTCACAGTCGTACTCTCCTGCACGCCTGTTAAATAGGCAAAAAATCAGTCACACAACATAACCAACAAATGTAAAACAAATATTTATATGAACAAATACCTCACAATCCAGTTGTTTGTTTTTTCTGATTCTTTTGCAATCTTTTTCTTGATATTGGATAGAATATCACCTTCAAACTTGGCAATTTTCTGTCTGTTTGACTCTCATCTTTGTATGAGATATACTGTGATTTCTTCAATCATCATTATAATTGGCTTGGACCTAGCTGTCACAAACACACAGTTGAAAGCCTCTGACATGTTGTTCACCAAGGTATCACACAAAGGATTGGTTTTGAAGAAAGCCTTGGTCCAAAACCTAGCTAGTAACTTTATTAAATACTTGAACGCTTCTACATTAACAACCTTCATTTCCAACATTGCTTTTTCAAAAGCATTTGTGTATCTCGCTGTAACAGCTTTCCACATTAACTCCTTGAGTTTAATTCCTGGGAATTTCTTCCTAAAATTGTTGTATAGATGCCTTCATTTACAAACCAATCAGTAAGTTTTAATAAGTATGCAACAATTATTAAGGTATATAAGTATGCAACAATTACAGACCAAAAACATTTATTTATTAAGATATATATCTGACACAAAATCTTTGGTTCACTTGTGGCAACAGTTCATCTAGAGTTGGTAACAGTCCATATATATGAGTATGCATCATGCATCAAATGGAACTAATCAATTATAGAAACGAACAACAAATTAAAGAAATTAATTAAATAAGTACCTTTTGTCAGTCCCTCTATTCCCTTTATGTTACAGTTCTCATTGTCTTTTACTTCATCTTCTCCATCATTGTTACAGTTTAGTCCGTCTTCTCTATCACTGTTATAATTCAGTCCCTCTTCTCCATCATTGGTACAATTCAGTCCTTCTTCTCCCTCATTGTTACAGTTCAGTCCCTCACCCCCTCACCTTGTTCAACTACAGCGGTCCCCTCATCATGCTCAATTTCAGTGGCCCCCTCACCATGTTCGGTTTCAGTGGTCCCCTTGTCTCCAACTTCCATAACATGTACAACATTTATGGTTCTCTTGTCTCCAACTTCCATATTATGTACAAAATCTGTGGTCCCCTTGTCATTTATTTATCCTTCTTTCACATCAGCTTTAATCTCATCCATAACACTCTCAAAGTCAGTTGGAAACTTTTTAGTGTTGTCTCCTACATTCTCAACACAAGTGGTCCCCTCATCAATGTTCTTACCTAACTAGTTTCAATGACTCTTACTTCAACATTATACTCAAGTGATAGTATTGGTTTCTCAGTTACCTATGATTGTAGAATAAGATGTATAACATATAAATGCACTTCCCCAGTCAATACAACAATTGTATGCATCTTCTTAGTTCCATTGTCATCTTTTAACTCCATTATGCTATTACAATCCATTTGATCACAATACCAAAGACTCTCTATAGTTGGATAACCTAAATCCTTTAACCCACCTAACACTTCGAAGTAACTCCAAAAAACCAGACTCAACATCTCAAGTTTCCTCGAACCCATTATAACATAGTTTCGTTAACTTAGCAAACTCACCTCCATGATGAACAACACATTTGAAACGACTCTCCATGACCTAGATATAACAACTACATGAGATTCAAAGCTAACGCAGATGAAAAACCCTAAATAAGAACTAAAATAAACGAATGGGAAGAATATAAAGTTTGTATTATTTGTACCTCAAAACAGATGATGGACCGTGTTCCTCTTTCACTCAATATCAAATAATACACAAACCCTAAAATGAAGATGAACAAAAATGTATGAAACTAAACTGAAGATGAACGAGGTATTATAAACGAGGATGAACGAAAATATATGATTACCATACCTTGACGAACGAAAATGAAAGGCGATGATAGCCACACGAACGAAGATGAAGATTAATGCTAATGCTTGCTTCGTTAGGGTTTCCAGTAAAGAAAGCTCAACTGGAGATGAAGTGAAGTCAAAATGAAGTAAAAAGGGTTAAAATGAAACATTGAAAATTCATAAATTTTTTTAATCAAAATGTCAAACCATAAATCCATGTCACCTTATGAAAGTTAGCTGAAATGTCACCCTAACAAAAACTAACGGAAATACACACATTTTATCAGAAAGGATCACATTGGTTAACAAAATCACAATTAAAGGACCTGATATTAATGTTTTTTATATAAGGGACCAAATTAAAAACTGAAATTAAGTTAAGGGACCAAATGATACATTAAACCTATTTTATCTGAAATATAATTTTTAAGACATTCAACTTAGCTTCAAATTATAAAAAAAAACATTAAACAAACAAAAATTTGATTCAAATTATTTTTATAAAATTTCTATAAAAAAAAAATCTAAAACACACTTATTCTTAATCACAAACTATTCGCAATCTCTTATTGTAATCTAACGGTTTTGCATAGCGGAACACCCTGAAACCACACAGTATTCCACATATCAGATTGAATATATTTTCCCGCCAAAAAGTTCCCTCTTTCGCTTATAGTTTCGCGCCCAACCCAAATCTCTTACACTACTCACTACCACCGTTCCGCCACAACCTCTCTCTCTCTCTCTCTCTCTCTCTCTCTCTCTCTCTCTCTCTCTCTCTGTTTTCGTCTCCGAGAAGTTCAACTATGAACACCAAAGGCGTCGATTTTGCCTCCGACAAAGGTAAATCTTCTCTTGCATTGCTTTCAATTTTTTCTTCAGGTTCATTTTTGGTTATATTTAACCTAAATCCTCTTTTTTCTCACATCCAGTTCTAGCGAGTCGGTTTCTTTCCGAATTCGCAGACGCTAATGGCGAAGCCAAGTACATCAACATCCTGGTTAGTTTATTCTTCATTTCAATTCATCTATACTAAACCTACTGTTAACCCTAATTTGTGCTTTTTTTTTGTTTGCTTTCGTTTCAGCAAGATGTTGCAAACCACAAAACTCGATCTGTTGAGATTGATCTTGACGACTTAATGAGCGTTAGTTTTATTGACCTTTCACTATATTGTAATTGTGCGCTTCTAAGCTTTGGTTACTGTTGATGATTTTAACTGCTGTGTTTGTTGTTTTCAGTACAAGGATCTAGATGAGGAATTTCTGACGCGAGTTACTGAGAATACCAGGAGATATATAGGGATTTTTGCTGATGCGATTGATGAGCTCATGCCAGAGCCTACTGAGGCGTTTGTTGATGATGATCATGACATTTTGATGACTCAGAGATCTGATGAAGGAACTGAAGGTGCTGATGGTTCTGACCCGCACCAGAAGATGCCTCCTGAAATCAAACGCTTTTTGTAAGACTCTAGTTTTTTGGGGTTATTCAATTTCTATGGTTTTGTAATAATAATATGATTCTGCTAATTTTTTTCATAAAAACTAGAATACCTATTTCCTGTGCTAATTTTCGGCCTTAGCTTTTATATGCCAGACCCACTGAAACATTTGTGGGTTATTTTGCAGTGAGGTTTATGTTAAAGCATCTTCAAAAGGACGGCCGTTTACAATTAGGGAGGTGAAGGCTTCAAACATTGGCCAGCTTGTAAGATTAGCTGGTATAGTCACTCGATGCTCTGATGTCAAACCATTGATGCAGGTTGCTGTGTACACCTGTGAGGACTGTGGCTTTGAAATTTACCAGGTAGTTCATTAGAGTAATGTAAGAACTGCTTTATTTAGATACACATAAGGTTTAGAAAAAAAAATGAAAGTGTTCCTTTCTGATATTAGGATTTGGATGTCAGGATGTAAACCAACTATATTTTAAGTATTACTACTATAATCTATTTATAACTATGATTAAAACTGGTTAGATTTATGGGATAAGACTTGGTTGTAATCATTGCTTTTGTAATCATTGATGTTTTCTCCCCTCTCTAAACAGGAAGTAACAGCTAGAATATTCATGCCTTTGTTTGAGTGTCCATCAAGGCGCTGTGTCATGAACAAGAGCAAGGGTAATGTCATCCTTCAATTGAGAGCATCAAAGTTTTTGAGATTTCAAGAGGTTTGTTCAATACTTTGGTCCATTGAATCCTGATACATTCTTAATTACTTTAGTTTTCATGTTCTTCATCATTGCTTATTAACTTTGAAATAAGGAATTTTTTAATGGTTAAATTGCAGGCCAAAATTCAAGAGTTATCTGAACATGTTCCAAAGGGTCATATTCCACGAACAATGACTGTTCATCTTAGGGGAGAACTAACTAGAAAGGTCTGCTATTCCCTTCCAATGGCATTGAACTAACATTACCATGTCAATTGTTATCAAGTACCTTAAATTGTGTCAATGCATAGTTGTATATTATTCCTTTAATATGAACATGACCTTATCTGACAATCATATGAATAAAGTTATCTCTTAAAACACAAGGGCACTAATCATTATTAATAATTACAATGATTTGGTGTACATATTGGAGTTTAACTGGCTATGTTCCTGCTACTGTTTATTAACTTGCTCATTGTGTATTATCAGGTATCTCCTGGTGATGTTGTTGAACTATCTGGGATTTTTCTTCCTATACCTTATGTTGGTTTTAGAGCAATGCGCGCTGGCCTTGTTGCCGATACATACTTAGAGGCCATGTCTGTGTCTCATTTTAAGAAAAAATATGAAGAGTAAGTTACTTTTGTAGGTCTTTTATTTTATAATAGCTGATCCCTTTATTTTTTACCCCACTCCCAGTACAGCAGTGTGTCTTGGACTTTTAATTCCATTTTCTGCTTGGATTGGTCTCCACTCGGATATTGTCATGACTTGATGTGCACAAAGAAATTTACACCTATTAGTTAATCTTTTTACAGTAGTTTGGGGGAATGTAGTTACATGGTAGCTTCCTAATAATTTAATTATGTCATAGATATGAACTTAGAGGAGATGAGGAAGAGCAGATTAAACGTTTAGCAGAAGATGGTGATATCTATGATAAGTTGGCAAGGTCACTAGCTCCTGAAATTTTTGGACATGAAGATATTAAGAAAGCACTGCTGCTGCTTCTTGTTGGTGCACCCCACCGGCAATTGAAAGATGGAATGAAGGTAATAAACTTCATATTATTTGAAGCATGCATGTTTAATGGAGCTTAAGATTTACATTGGAGCTTAAGATTTAAATAAAAATAATCATGTTGAATTATTAGAGATAAAGACATGATATTAATTATTAAAGTGTAATGGTATTAGTGATTTGTATGAAATTTTTGTTTTATTTCCTCCCTCAAACTTTTTGTTGAGTTCTACTTTTGTTTTAATTTATTTTGTCTGTGATGGTGTACACAACTAAATAAATAAGTATTATAAATTTTATTTGATTGCAGATCAGAGGAGATCTACATATATGTTTGATGGGGGACCCTGGTGTTGCCAAGAGTCAGCTTCTTAAACACATAATCAATGTAGCACCCAGGGGTGTATACACCACTGGAAAAGGAAGTAGTGGAGTTGGACTAACTGCTGCTGTTCAGAAAGATCCAGTGACAAATGAGATGGTTTTGGAGGGTGGAGCATTGGTAATGTAGTTGTTTTTATAAGTCTAGTAATTCTGTCCATTCATTTTGCATTTACGTTAGGTTGGCAACCTATAACTTAGGTAAAACATATTATATGTTGTCGACACTTGCTAAATGAAGATAGTCATGCATCAAATTGCTACTCTGGCTTCTAAGTCAATACAATCTATGTCCTTATATAGTAGTTTCCAGTTGTATATGTAGATAATGACAGAACATTCTGAATTTCAGGTGCTATCAGATATGGGCATATGTGCCATTGATGAATTTGACAAGATGGATGAATCGGATCGTACATCTATACATGAAGTTATGGAACAACAGACTGTTAGCATTGCCAAGGCTGGGATCACTACATCACTGAATGCAAGGACTGCTGTCCTTGCTGCAGCTAATCCAGCATGGTATTATTTTTTTTTCACCTTATTGATATGATACAAGATGCTTGCATTTTGTGCTTCCAAATCTAATTTCATCCATTTTAACTGTGAAGGGGAAGATATGATCTAAGAAGAACTCCTGCTGAAAATATAAATCTTCCACCTGCCCTCCTATCAAGGTTTGATTTACTGTGGTTAATTCTAGATCGAGCTGATATGGATAATGATCTTGAAATGGCAAGGCATGTTGTCTATGTCCACCAAAACAAAGAGTCCCCCGCACTAGGATTCACTCCTCTTGAACCATCTGTTCTACGGTAAGAATAGAATGTGAATTGTGTTAACTGCCAACTGCTTTTCATTTTAATCAAAATAATTGGAGTTTACTGCAAATGTGTTGCTGATTAGATTGCATGTTTATTCTGATTGCTCATAATTTCAGAGTCTGTCAATGTTCTGTCATTTGCTAGATAGAAATTGTTACAAATTAAATTGTGTTTCTTTCATTTAGTGCATACATATCAACTGCTAGAAGGTTGTCTCCTACTGTCCCAAGGGAACTGGAAGAGTACATTGCCAGTGCTTACTCTAGCATTCGGCAAGAAGAAGCTAAATCCACCACTCCACATTCCTATACGACTGTCAGAACATTGCTCAGCATTCTCCGCATATCAGCTGTAAGTGCTTCTTTTTTTCTCTTTTATCTTGTTAAGATGTGAGGGAGGGGCAGTTATTAGTCATATAGGGTTGTATTGACTATACTTTTTGGGATTAATAATTTATCTGCTTACATCTGCAGTTCATCATTACATCATTCAAAGTGTAATGTTTAACTTTAAAACTAAGTAGGCTTTGGTTAATATGTTTTGACTTTAAAGAACTATTTTATTAAGTCCACAGCATGAAGCTGTAAGTATCTGACTATTATTTCTTATATTGTCTAAGCAATTAGGGTTCCATTTGTAATTTCTAAACAGGCCCTAGCAAGACTTCGCTTTGCTGAAACTGTTGCTCAGAGTGATGTGGATGAGGCTTTGAGGTTAATGCAGATGTCAAAATTCTCTTTGTACTCTGATGACCGTCAAAGATCTGGTCTGGATGCTATATCTGATATTTATTCGATACTACGTGATGAAGCTGCTAGAAGTCACAGAATGGATGTCAACTATCGTGATGCATTGAATTGGATATCTCGGAAGGTGAGTTCATTCTTCACATTGCTGCTTGAATTCGAATTGTATCTGCCATAGAGTTTTATAAAATGATTTCCACTTCAAACATGTTGGACTGGACTCAATCGGGACCATTTGATAGGACGATATTCAGCAGTAAAAACAATCAAGAATATAGTACTAATTTCATTGAACGAAGAACCCTAAGCTCATTAGTATTGGCCAATTATGGCTAGAGTTGTATTAGCATTTGGTATTTTTTTTCTTTAGAATCTTCAATTTTGTTTGAGAAATTTATGTCAAATTTTCTATTTGCCAACAAAACCTTTTTTTTTTTGCTTTTATAACACCAAGTTTTTATTTTTAACTTACTGGTAAAATTATTCTGATAATATACAAGTTTAATTTTTTCTTCTTTTTGGCCCAAATAAATTCTGACCACAGTTGTTCTTTTGGAACAGGGGTACAGCGAAGCCCAGTTGAAAGAGTGTTTAGAGGAATATGCAGCATTGAATGTATGGCAGATACATCCTCAAACCTTCGATATTAAATTTATCGATGCTTGATGTACCCTTGACAAAATTTGACAAAGCTTTGTGGCAATCTGGTTCAACAAACTGGACAAGTCATGACAGTGCTGGTCGACCTTAGGGAAATTGTATTAGTAATTTCTTTCTTGTGTGGATTCTTTGTATTGTTAATTAGAAGTTAGAACAGCTTATTTATTACTTGTTGAGTACTTGCATATTTAACTTGTTTGTAGCACCCATTGGATTGCTTAACGGTAAAATCTTTCAGGACTCACATTTGAAAACTTGTAGACAACTGTTGTGCATTTGGATTCAGGATAGAATTAATATACAATCATTAATTATAACCGTATAAAATAAACTGTGTTCAAAAAGGTTGTCTCAAAATCCAATAAGAAAAAGGGATAAATCATAACATTAGCAACTTGGGAGTTAGTGCATTGAACAAATGCTTTAAAACCCGGATCGGTACTTGCTGACAAGGTTATTGGTTCAAGTTGGTTGAACTGCATGATCACTAATAGAAATTGACTTGCATGTGTATTGAGTTAGTAGTGTTTTAAAAACCATATTGATTGTTGATACTGTATGGTTATCGGTTCAAGTTGGTTGGACCATGAAGGTTCTTTGAATGAAATGATCATATATCTTTTTTTCTGAATCAATGGAATAAGTATATTTATTCAAAACGGCGATCAGTACAGCGTAAGGTGATCCAATCGACAAAAAGAACTCAAGATTATATCATAAAACTGACAAGATGTTTTCTAATCCTACTGTTGTTCCATCCTCGGTAGATCACATGATCTATGATGTTAGTAATCGTGGTTGTAATATCTACAGCGTTTCCAAAAGTTTTGCCATTCCTATATCTCCAGATGTTGTAGATGGTTTCAGCTACCAACATCTTTAGAACTTCAACTTTCCAACCCTTTCCCTTTGTGTTATTGCTAATCCAAACCAGTTTCGCATTCTTCAGAACTTCAACTTTCTAACCCTTTCCCTTTGTGTTATTGCTGATCCAAACCAGTTTCGCATTCCAAGGTTGAGGGTCATGAGCAAAGTTAAACCAATTAAGCACTTCCTTCCAAATGTGCTTAGTCTCTTGACAGGAGGAAAAAAAGGTGATTTAGTGTTTCATCCTCCGCCTGACATAGTTTGCAGTTGCTGTCCTCAATCAACCCAAATCGCTTCAGCCTCTTCTTGGTTGCAAGCTTCCCATGACAAGCTTGCCATAAGCAAAAAACTGCACGCGGACGGGCCTTGTTGAACTTAATCAAATTACCCCGTAGGACCCTTGTGCCATCATCAATCAGCACCCTATAGATAACCAGAGCTTTAAACTTGTGTGTAATTATAAATTGTTCCCATTCATTCCGGATAATCTCCAAGTTATCACGCTGTTTCAAGATACCGCGAACAATCCAGGAATTGTAAGTTTTGATTTCGTAGTTCAACACACTGTTTTCCTTTAGGTACTGAGTATGGATCCATTTAACCCACAAATTATCAGTTTTGTTGCACAGATTCCAGAGACATTTCAGGAGCAACACATTGTTCCAAACCTGAAGGTTCAGCAGATTCAACCTACCCTGAGCAGTCGGACAGCAGGTGCGATTCCAAGCCACAAGACATTTTCTGCTAATTGCATTCTTACCGGTCCAGATGAAGCTGCGGTAGATAGATTCAATTTTTCTGATCACAGCTTTAGGCAGAGGGAGACATTGCATCCAATATTGGACCATTTCAGCAGTTATGCTTTTCACTAGCTGGATTCTACCCGCGTAACTAAGAAGTCTTGAGGACCAATGATGGGTTCGAGCCACAATTTTGTCCACCAAAGGCATAAAATGGTTGATGTTTAGTTTCCTGCTAGATAAAGGGATCCCTAGATATTTGAACGGAAGTGATCCTTCATGAAATCCTAATAGTTCTGTCAAAGTTTTTCGCCTTTCAACATCCAGACCCCCACAATAGATTTTGCACTTATTTGGATGCAATATCAGACCTGTGGAATTGGAGAACTTATTGAAAGTATTAAGCATCATTTGCAGAGATATTTCATCCCCTCTACAAAACAGCAACACATCATTAGCGAAGGTGAAATTTGTGATTTGCAGCTTCTCGCATTTGGCGTGGTAGTTGAAATTTAAAAGAAACAACTTTCATTAAATTCATTTTTTAGAAATTTAAAATTTTGATAAAATTTAAAAATGCTCTAATACTTGGACGTTTATATAAAATAACTGTTTTATTTCTTGCATCTATAATGATCTTTAACAAATTAAAAACAAATCCAATTCAAATGCAAAAATTATTTCCTCGATGGATTGAGAAATTCTAATTAGTCGGGGTAAAATACTTTTGCTATAATTTTATTCAAAAATAAATTTGTTTAACATTGATGATATTATCATTATTGTTTTTGTCCTTGATATTTTTTCTATATTGAAAAAAAGTAATGTAAGTGGCAAGATTTTATAAAATTATTTATTTAGTTGAATAAATAAATAAGAATGACAAATAATTTAATGGGGCAATAACTAATATTTTATAGTATTAGCATAAAATTATTAAATATTTACTAAACATACACTAGATAAGTGGAGGTAGCTGCTCCTAATTTAATACACTTTAATCTGTCTCTCTACTTACATCAAATTTATAATATATTTGGTATAAAAAGTTTGATTTTTTCATCTTATATTTAGCAAAAGGTTTTATAATTTCTTTTATTATTAATCATCAATAACTTGATTTATTTGTTTGTTAGTGACAGGAAGAGGACGAGACAACATTATCATCCTCTGGTTGAGTGACAAATCGAGGTGATGTTGCTAAGAGATTTGCTAACAATGCAGATGATTTTGATAATGACCCTTGGAGTACTAGGACAAGTAGGATAAATCGCAGGTTCACAATGTAGGAAGATTTAGGAGATTTATAGACCACAAACAATATAATGACGGGGAGATAGAGGTGGGCATTTTATAGGCCATGATGACACACATATTGAAGTGCTTGATCATGATCATGTTGATACATAAGCACATGTTGAGGTGTCTAATTTTGATCATGTTGATCTAGAGGCATGTACAAAGGTGTATGAAGATACAAAAATTTCAAAGCTCTACATCATAGGGGATTTTAAGAGGGCTCACGAACCTAACAGTGCTAACATGATATTCTTTTCGTTTTAAAATAACTGTTGTTTTAGAGGAAAAATTTTGTTTCAAAATACTATCGTTCTCACTTTTTAATATAGTAATTGTTCTGGACTGGGCCGAGGCTTAGCCCACAATCGAGAAGGCCCAAAATTCCACTGAGGTTGGGCCCAATTGGACCACACTGATGAGCAGGGACCAATGGGCAGAACCTCCTCCCGTCAGGCAGGTGCCCATCCCGTGGGCAGAACCTGTGCCCATCCTGACGGGCAGAACCTGTGCCCATCCCGTCAGGACAGAACCTCCTCCCGTCAGGCAGGTGCCCATCCTGACGAGCAGAACCTGTGCCCATCCCGTCAGGGCAGAACCTCCTCCCGTCAGGCAGGTGCCCATCCCGTGGGCGGAACCTGTGCCCATCCTGACGGGCAGAACCTGTGCCCATCCCGTCAGGGCAGAACCTCCTCCCGTCAGGCAGGTGCCCATCCTGACGAGCAGAACCTGTGCCCATCCCGTCAGGGCAGAACCTTCTCCCGTCAGGCAGGTGCCCATCCTGACGAGCAGAACCTGTGCCCATCCTGACGAGCAGAACCTGTGCCCATCCTGACGAGCAGAACCTGTGCCCATCCCGTCAGGGCAGAACCCCCTCCCGTCAGGCAGGTGCCCATCCTGACGAGCAGAACCTGTGCCCATCCTGACGAGCAGAACCTGTGCCCATCCCGTCAGGGCAGAACCTCCTCCCGTCAGGCAGGTGCCCATCCTGACGAGCAGAACCTGTGCCCTCCTGACGAGCAGAACCTATGCCCAGCCCGTCAGGGCAGAACCTCCTCCCGTCAGGCAGGTGCCCATCCTGACGAGCAGAACCTGTGCCCATCCTGTCGGGCAGAACCTGTGCCCATCCCGTCAGGGCAGAACCTCCTCCCGCCAGGCAGGTGCCCATCCTGACGGGCAGAACCTGTGCCCATCCTGTCGGGCAGAGCCTGTGCCCATCCCGTCAGGGCAGAACCTCCCCTCCGCGGGGAGAATAACGTGCTCGGCGCACGTTCTCCACGTGCTCCCCTCCGCGGGGACACGTCACCGGCCAACTGCCCACCTCCGAAAGAGCAGGTCAAACCCACTCTCCGGAGATCTAGGAGCGGTTGAACTAGGGCGAAGACCACGTCCTGGTCTTCACTACGCCACGTAAGCCCTAGCAGTCATTAGGGTTGGGCCTGGTCATCCAGCCCACCTCGAATGACCGTTGGCCCAGCGCTGGGGTCTCTCTATAAATACCCTCTTCCCCAAGAGGGCCAGGTAATTTTCACCTCTTCTAACTTTCTGTTCTTGCTCTCACTCTGCCCAAATTCTGACTTTGGCATCGGAGTGCCTTGCAGGTACACCCCCTCCTCATCCTCAACACCGGTGAACAGGAAGCAGCCTAACGGAGCGTGGCCATCCCGTGATCCCCTCCTGATCAGGTCAGATCAGTGGCGCCGTCTGTGGGAAACTAAGCTCCCCCGTTCCTCCGAGCAGAGAACCAAAGCTTCGTCTCTCAAAACTTCAAGATCACGAGTGCCCTCCGCCATGGCGACGTTGTTCACAATTGTCCTCCCTTCGTCGAGCAGAAGACTCCGATGGGCAGGACCTGGCTGCCCACCAGCCAGTCTTTGTCCTCCTTTCGCCGAGCAGAAGACTCCGATGGGCAGGACCTAGCTGCCCACCAGCCAGTCTTTGTCCTCCTTTTGCCGAGCAGAAGACTCCGATGGGCAGGACCCTGGCTGCCCACCAGCCAGTCTTTGTCCTCCTTTCGCCGAGCAGAAGACTCCGATGGGCAGGACCCTGGCTGCCCACCAGCCAGTCTTTGTCCTCCTTTCGTCGAGCAGAAGACTCTGATGGGCAGGACCCTGGCTGCCCACCAGCCAATATTTGTCCTCCTTTCGTCGAGCAGAAGACTCCGATGGGCAGGACCTGGCTGCCCACCAGCCAGTCTTTGTCCTCCTTTCGTCGAGCAGAAGACGCCGATGGGCAGGACCTGGCTGCCCACCAGCCAGTCTTTGTCCTCCTTTCGCCGAGCAGAAGACTCCGATGGGCAGGACCCTGGCTGCCCACCAGCCAGTCTTTGTCCTCCTTTCGTCGAGCAGAAGACTCCGATGGGCAGGACCTGGCTGCCCACCAGCCAGTCTTTGTCCCCTCCTTTCGCCGAGCAGAAGACTCCGATGGGCAGGACCTGGCTGCCCACCAGCCAGTCTTTGTCCCCTCCTTTCGCCGAGCAGAAGACTCCAATGGGCAGGACCCTGGCTGCCCACCAGCCAGTCTTTGTCCTCCTTTCGCCGAGCAGAAGACTCCAATGGGCAGGACCCTGGCTTCCCACCAGCCAGTCTTTGTCCTCTCTTTCGTCGGGCAGAAGACTCTGCCGGGCAGGACCCTGGCTTCCATCCAGCCTTGTCCTCCCTTCGAAAACCTACTACCTCGAAAACTTACACGGGACTATATAGCTCGACCATGGAACGCTGAAAAGCTAAAAAATACTACAGTTAAACAACACTGCCCGCGTGGGACAACCCGCGCGAACAAGAGGGTGGACTGATACGACCACACCTCACCGACCTTACCTTAGCGGGCACTATATCTCCCCGAACAAAAAGAGAATAGCCCGCTCGACGGCACCCCCTCGATCGAGAGTCGCCGCCGCAGTATCATAATCGGCCGAACGCCCAGCTCGCGATGGGATGTTCAAGCCTACAGGATAGATCACAATCGTGACCTAACTCTTGTCCGCCCAGGAAGCTACCCCGGGCATCCGGATAGTTCCCCACACTACCGGGTAACACGCACCGAGCAAAGGTCCCCCACAAAACAATAAACATTCACGTCATAATGGAGCTCGGCAAAACGAGCCAACACTTAGCGAAAAAGCATAACGATCATGCACGCACACAAAACTTAGAAAGGAAAACAAGAATTCCATAAAAGGGGCACAAGCCCAGAAGTCAAAACGTTATAATAAACGGGCACGACCCCGGGTGTCGAGCAGAAACGATCGAAGGTGTCGAGCATAATTTTTTGGATGTCGAGCGACTGCAATTTCGCCCTTCCCAGATGATCGATACGATCGACGACATTCTCGCATCCTGCCTGACATATCAGCGCGCGCAACGCTATTCTCTACTTAAGTCATAGCTCTCCTGACAGCGAACTACGACTTGGGGGGCTCCTGTTCTGGACTGGGCCGAGGCTTAGCCCACAATCGAGAAGGCCCAAAATTCCACTGAGGTTGGGCCCAATTGGACCACACTGATGAGCAGGGACCAATGGGCAGAACCTCCTCCCGTCAGGCAGGTGCCCATCCCGTGGGCAGAACCTGTGCCCATCCTGACGGGCAGAACCTGTGCCCATCCCGTCAGGACAGAACCTCCTCCCGTCAGGCAGGTGCCCATCCTGACGAGCAGAACCTGTGCCCATCCCGTCAGGGCAGAACCTCCTCCCGTCAGGCAGGTGCCCATCCCGTGGGCGGAACCTGTGCCCATCCTGACGGGCAGAACCTGTGCCCATCCCGTCAGGGCAGAACCTCCTCCCGTCAGGCAGGTGCCCATCCTGACGAGCAGAACCTGTGCCCATCCCGTCAGGGCAGAACCTTCTCCCGTCAGGCAGGTGCCCATCCTGACGAGCAGAACCTGTGCCCATCCTGACGAGCAGAACCTGTGCCCATCCTGACGAGCAGAACCTGTGCCCATCCCGTCAGGGCAGAACCCCCTCCCGTCAGGCAGGTGCCCATCCTGACGAGCAGAACCTGTGCCCATCCTGACGAGCAGAACCTGTGCCCATCCCGTCAGGGCAGAACCTCCTCCCGTCAGGCAGGTGCCCATCCTGACGAGCAGAACCTGTGCCCTCCTGACGAGCAGAACCTATGCCCAGCCCGTCAGGGCAGAACCTCCTCCCGTCAGGCAGGTGCCCATCCTGACGAGCAGAACCTGTGCCCATCCTGTCGGGCAGAACCTGTGCCCATCCCGTCAGGGCAGAACCTCCTCCCGCCAGGCAGGTGCCCATCCTGACGGGCAGAACCTGTGCCCATCCTGTCGGGCAGAGCCTGTGCCCATCCCGTCAGGGCAGAACCTCCCCTCCGCGGGGAGAATAACGTGCTCGGCGCACGTTCTCCACGTGCTCCCCTCCGCGGGGACACGTCACCGGCCAACTGCCCACCTCCGAAAGAGCAGGTCAAACCCACTCTCCGGAGATCTAGGAGCGGTTGAACTAGGGCGAAGACCACGTCCTGGTCTTCACTACGCCACGTAAGCCCTAGCAGTCATTAGGGTTGGGCCTGGTCATCCAGCCCACCTCGAATGACCGTTGGCCCAGCGCTGGGGTCTCTCTATAAATACCCTCTTCCCCAAGAGGGCCAGGTAATTTTCACCTCTTCTAACTTTCTGTTCTTGCTCTCACTCTGCCCAAATTCTGACTTTGGCATCGGAGTGCCTTGCAGGTACACCCCCTCCTCATCCTCAACACCGGTGAACAGGAAGCAGCCTAACGGAGCGTGGCCATCCCGTGATCCCCTCCTGATCAGGTCAGATCAGTAATAATTGCTATTTTTCCAATTGTGTCATATAGTTATTACTCTGTATACTATTTTCAATATATTAATAAGACTAATTTAATAAAAGTGTAATATTTTATGATAATATCATTGCATTTTTTAATCTGTGTGCAAAAGTTTTAAACGACAATCATTTTAAAATGGAGAGACTATCATGGTTATGAAAAATAGAGGTATAAATATATTAATTTAATTTAATTTAATATATTGATGATTGATTTAAAATAACTCATATTATATGATTAATTATGACATGACTACACTCCATTCCATTGAAGGTCTCTTAGGAAGCTGAAGAAAATTTTATTTGTGAATATGCCTGATGAGATCATGAGTTTAGTGAATGATGCTAGTTTGCTCCCTCCGGTGAGATGTTCTATTTTGAGAGATGATCACCGTAGATGATGTCTTTAGCTCATTCCATCTATCCTTCACATGTAACTTTTATAATCTTATGCTTGTAACATTCTATTCAGTTTCTCTCTGAATTATACAACACTTTAATATAACAACATACATTTTAAGAATAAAATTTGAGAAACAAAGGAGAAAAATGTCGCCTAACAGTATTAGTATTTTTCAGTTGAGTCATACCTTAGGTAACTCAATTTTTACTTCAACTAAATTCATGTAACATGATAAAGTATTTTTTTCATAATTATACGTTTTTTTTCAAAAAAATTATTTTTTTCCTCTTTAGAGGTTTTAATAATGCACAATTCATTCTTTTTAATCAACTCTTTCTTTTTAATCAAGGTTGTCAAACTCGAGTTTTTATATTAGTTCATTTTACTTACGTATAACTGCTGCAAGGTGAAGAAGCAAGCAATGATACAGCCCGTAGAGTGAATTCCTTCCCGCCATTCTGGAGAAATATTTCCCGCTAATACCCACCGCATTTTAATATTACCGTTCCTTTCATCTTCTTTCATTCTCACTCTCACTCTCACTCTTCTCTGCAACACATTCACAACAATGTCTTCCTCCCGTCGCAACACCAACGGCCGTTCACCTCTCGTCAATCCACAGCGTCAAATCACCGCCTTCTTCACCAAAACCAATTCCCTCTCTCCCTCCCCTTCTCCCACTCTCTCCAAAACCAATCCTAAACTAAACCCTAACCCTAACCCTAACCCTAACCCTAGTCCTAGCCTAACTACGCCTTCACCTCTCAATTCCAAACCACACAAACCCCGTCTCGTTATCGGCGCTTCTCCCACATCAACACCCCCTTCGCATTCTCCCTTCATCGGCAAAAGGATTAAGGTTTATTGGCCTTTAGACAATGCCTGGTACGAAGGTGTTGTTAAGTCATTTGACAGCGTTACCTCCAAGCATCGGATTCGTTACGATGATGATGAAGAGGAATGCATTGATCTTTCCAACGAGAAGATTGAGTGGCTTCCGGATCCTTCTTCCAAGAAGCTTAAACGGTTGCGTCGCGGCTCTTCTCCTATTAGGAAGATGGTGATTGAGGACAATGAGGTTGAAGGAAGTCCCAAAGAGGAAACAGAAGAACTTGATGATGACGATGATTCGGGAGATGAAGATTGGGGGAAGAATGCTGTATTGGAGGATGCTGGTGATGACGAGGAAGAAGATATGGAGCTGGAGGAAGAAAATGAGGTTGTAGAGAGTGCTAAAGGAAAGAGTAAGAGTAGCGGCAAGGTCGAGCCTAAAAAGCGGAAACTTGGCGAAGCATTGAAATTGGAGCCTGTGAAAAAGAGCAAGAGTGGAAATGATGTTAATAGTGTAGCTGTTAAGCACTCACCATTGGAGCCTGTGAAAAATTTGGAGGGTGAGCTACAAAGTTAATATCTGTCTATTGAAACCCTGTTTAATATATTGTGATATTATTTGTTTGTCTTCATTTACACTTATAGAATGTTGATTTAAATGTATCCTAATACACACATGTTCCTTATTGGTGGTGTGGGTATTGAATATTGGGATTTTCAAATTTAGTATAGTAAATATCATATTTTTTAGTAAATAAAAATGAAGATGAAGCTAGGCAAATAATCAAATTAAATATAGTAAGGTTGGGTAAACGAGTTTCTAGAAGCCACTCACCAATGATATACATATTACTTAAAAATGATTAGTTATTTATAATTTATTAGTTTATACAGTTTGTTTAAGACTGACCGATTTCATAATGCACCTTCTCATTCATTGAGTGATGGAGGTTTTACTTACCACATTAATTACGTATATTGATGTTTTTTAAAAATTAAGAATTTTAACCATATCTTGCATTTTGCAGTTAAAAAGACATTGGATGTCGCAGACAATGTTGCAACTGATGATGTGGCTGAAAGATCAGAAAGATTTGCTCTCCGGGAAGCTCAGAAGTTTCGCTTTCTGGGAGAGTGAGTACTGACTGCAGCAATGTAGCTTTTTGTTCAAATCTCCCTATGCCATAATTCTCTTATTTATTAAAGGAATTTGTATGACTTGCCATTTTGTCTGTATGCAGTTATCAGGTGTTATTGCCTATTTCTGAAACACTTAATTTGCGGGTTTCTATTATCATTTTATTTATGTTGCACGTGTTTATGTTGTCTCGGTACAGAGATCGCAGGGATGCCAAGCGAAGGCGTCCAGGAGATGAAAATTATGACTCAAGAACTCTCTATTTGTCTCCAGATTTTATGAGGAGTTTGTCAGATGGCCAGGTAATTATTGCAAAAAAAGTGGGATGTAACTCAATTTTGATGTTGCATGCAATTAATATGATAATTTGATGAATGCAGAAACAATGGTGGGACTTCAAGTCAAAACACATGGACAAAGTTTTGTTTTTCAAGGTTTTAATTGGCTAAGTTTTGTTGGTGTCATTAGTCCATTTCTTACACGTTACAACTAAAACTATTTCGTTCCCCCTTTTTATTGGAGCAGATGGGTAAATTTTACGAGCTTTATGAAATGGATGCACATATAGGAACAAAAGAGCTTGACTTACAATATATGAAGGTCAGTATGAGTACTCTAGAGTAATGGATTTTCTTTTAAATTCTAAGGTGCTGTTTTTGTTTATGCTGAACCATGCATATTTATTGGTTTAATGTAACTCTTTTAGGGAGATCAACCTCATTGTGGATTTCCAGAGAAAAATTTCTCAGTAAATGTAGAGAAGCTAGCTAGAAAGGTTTGTCACATCAATGACTTGTCTTCTTATTTAACCTCTGTTACTAACCTAATTAATATGTCCCACAAGGCAACTTCCAACTGGGCAGAAACTTACTGAATTGCATTTGATGGCCAGGGTTATCGAGTTCTTGTTGTAGAGCAGACTGAAACACCTGAACAGCTTGAGCTTCGTCGCAAAGAGAACGGCTCTAAAGATAAGGTCCGATTACACTTCACCTAAACCAGAATAGTTATTATTTTATTTGTACCTTCTTTTGAATACTGTGCCTGCTGTCAGTTTTAAATATAATCTTTTAACTTTTTTATTTTACGGATTCATTTTTCTTTCTAACCCCAGTTTAGTAGAGGAACAATGATATATAATCTTGATGTCTCGATGTCTTCTAGGTTGTGAGACGGGAAATATGTGCAGTGGTTTCAAAAGGCACATTAACGGACGGGGAGTTTATGGCAACACATCCTGAAGCTGCATATTTAATGGCATTGACTGAGTACCATGAGAACCGTCCAAATAAAACTTCAGAGCGCACCTATGGTGTTTGTGTAGTCGATGTTGCTACAAGCAGAGTCATTCTCGGGCAGGTATGATTGTGTATTCAAATTTTTAGATATAAACTCATCCATAACTTTTTGGCGAGATCTGTTAATATCATCGAGTTGTAAAATTTTGGCAAGTTCTGTAAATTTTAGGGGGAATAGTTTTCAAGAATGTGTTGGTAAATCTTTGTTAATTGTTACGTTTGCTCAAATTTTCATTATTTCTTTGGTTGCTTCAATTCTTCCTCCTATTGTTTTAGAGAACAATACATTTTTTAAATATCATACTATTAAATATAGACCTAATTAATCTTCTAATTGCATATGTTATCGCTTATATATGGCAGTTCAACGATGACTCAGAGTGCAGTGCCTTGTGCTCTATCTTGTCTGAGATCAGACCAGTTGAAATTGTGAAACCTGCTAAACTACTTAGCGCTGAAACAGAAAGGGTACTGCTGAAACACACCAGAAACCCTCTAGTGAATGAGTTGGTTCCAATTGTGGAATTCTGGGATGCTGATAAAACTTTGGATCAATTGAAGAGAATTTATGGGCATAGTAATGATGTTAGTGTTGAAGATGGTGGGTTAGATTGTCTGCCAGCTGTTTTGCTGGAGCTGGTGAAAACAGGTCATGACAACAGCAGTGCACTCTCAGCACTTGGTGGTGCTATCTATTATTTGAAACAGGCTTTCCTAGATGAAAAGTTGCTTAGATTTGCGCAGTTTGAGTTGCTTCCATGTTCTGTTTTCAGTGGCCTTGCTTCAAAACCATACATGATTCTTGATGCAGTAGCCCTAGAGAATCTTGAGATATTTGAGAATAGCAGAAATGGAGGGTTATCAGGGTATACTTTTCTTTGGATTTATCTACACTCTTTGTAAATGGGTAATATATGTTTATATTTCACTGACACGGTGATTCTTGTGTAGCACACTCTATGCTCAATTAAACCAATGTGTTACGGCATTTGGGAAGAGACTGCTAAAGTCATGGCTTGCAAGACCGTTATGTCATGTGGAGTCAATTAAGGAACGCCAGGAAGCCGTTGCAGGTTTAAAGGTACATTCCCCGACCATGCATTTTGTTTTTGATTTTGATGTCCTTGAAGAAACAGTGAATTTTTGTATTTGTGCACTAGGTAAACCAAGCAGGGCTCCAAAACTATTTTTTTTCACGTCAGATGTACTTATTTGTTCTATTCTGCTTTTTCTTTCCTTTTAATTTATCCCACTATTGCATGCTCTTATTTAAAACCTTTTGGACCTCTTTTTGGACTTGTATGATTATCATTGGTAATGAAAAAACATGCTTTTTAAAACTAAACCTGTAAAACACATTCATTTTTTCATATTTATGTTTATGGCATAATTAGCTATTAAGTATTTTTTGGGAAACCTAGCCCCCTCATTCTATGTAGATCCCAGACAGTTTGTTTGGCTTGTTGTGTCCAGCAATACAATATGGAACATTTAAGCTTGTCTAGGAAATTCTGCTTTTCTGTCCGTATCATTTTGATCAGATACAAAATCAGTACATTTTGTCAATCATATTAATATGTGATTTACTTTTAAGGGAGTGAATCTACCTCATGCGCTAGAATTTCGAAAAGCATTATCAAAGCTACCTGACATGGAGCGGTTGCTTGCACGGGTGTTATCTTCTAGGTAAAATATATTTGTGCAACAGCTATGTGTGATATTATTTACAGACATAGGGATTGACTCATTGACATTGTCTTCTTAAATATTTATGCTCCTTGATTTTCATGAATGCAGTGATGCTAGTGGAAGGAATGCTAATAAAGTGGTTCTGTATGAGGATTCAGCGAAGAAACAATTGCAAGAGTTTATTTCTGCTCTGCGCGGTCTTGAACTAATGGCACAAGCTTGCTTGGCACTCAGTGGCATTTTAGATGATGTTGAATCTAGACAACTTAGTCATCTTTTAACACCTGGTACAATTATCTCAATAAATAAATATTTTGTGAAATAACTCTGCAGCTATTGCTTGATGCATTGAGTATTGTGAACTGTAGGCAAAGGTCTTCCTGATGTCAGCATGGATCTGAATCATTTCAAATGTGCTTTTGATTGGGGGGAAGCCAATAGCTCCGGCCGTATAATACCTCATGATGGAGCTGACATAGAGTATGATTCAGCTTCTAAGGCAGTTAAAGAGATCGAGTCCAGTTTATCAAATCATCTCAATGAACAAAGGGAATTACTTGGATGCCCATCAGTAAGACAGGCCTAGAATGACAATAGTTGGAGTTCGGTCTTATTATAGCATATAAAATCAGTTTTTGAATGTTCTTATTTGTCTGTGACAGATCTCTTATGTCACTGTTGGAAAGGACACATACCTATTGGAAGTGCCTGAAAATTTGTCTCAGAATATTCCTCATGATTATGAACTGCGTTCATCCAAGAAAGTAAGGCCATGCTCTGAAAATTGTGTGAATAGAATGCAAGTATATAATAATGTTTATGTTGCTAGTGATTAAAAATATAATCCTTGTGAACACGTTGGTTGGCTCTTCATAAATTATAGTCAACAATTATGACTGTAAACACAAGGGAATTTGCTTCATTTTCTTCATCTGGCATTTGCAGGGTTTCTCTAGGTATTGGACTCCAGATATTAAAATATTTTTGAAAGAGCTCTCCCATGCTGAGTCTGAAAGGGAGACCTTATTGAAAAGTACATTTCAGAGACTGATTGGGCGTTTTTGTGAACATCACACTCAGTGGAAGCAGTTGGTGTATGCAACTGCTGGTACGAATGAACCATTTTTTGAAGTACATGCTTCCCTATTTTCAGCTTTGTATGATGCTGGTTGTTGAAACCTATATTTCTTCAGTTGAAATTAAGTTCTCTCTTTTTTTCTTCCCTTTTACCTTTATTCAGTTCTTACCTTTCCTTATAAGTTTTAAAATGGTGAATTTTTATGTTTTTTAAATAGAAAATTGAAGTTTTATCCTTTATATGACTTAAATTGGATGTTGCATTTACGTATTGCAGAATTGGATGTTTTGATCAATTTAGCCATTGTCAGTGATTACTATGAAGGACCAACATGCAGACCAAGTTTTGCTGGGACATTATGTAAAGATGACGCCCCATACATCAATGCTAAAGGTCTTGGACACCCAGTTCTTAGGAGTGATTCCCTAGGAAAAGGTGCCTTTGTACCTAATGACATAACTATTGGTGGTCCAGATCAGGCCTCCTTTATTCTTCTTACAGGTCCTAACATGGGTGGGAAGTCAACTCTTCTTCGGCAAGTTTGCATGGCTGTGATTTTGGCCCAGGTGAACCTTTTATGTCACATTACTTTTCTCATTTAATATTTATTCTTTGGCCTGTTGGAGAGGGAGATTACATGATAAGAAGGAAACTTGTCTCGAGTAAGCTTGTCTTTTCCCAGTTAGTCATTTTAATTTCTTACGCAGGTAGGAGCTGATGTCCCTGCAGAAAGTTTTGAATTGTCACCTGTGGACCGAATTTTTGTTCGGATGGGTGCCAGAGATAATATAATGGCTGGCCAAAGTACATTTTTAACTGAACTTTCAGAAACTGCAACAATGCTGGTAAGATGGTCCCTTGAGTATCGCTTCACCTTGTATCACGTGTAACTTGGTTATTCAAGCATACAACAATAGACATGTTTCAAGTCTCATCTTTATTGATTTAGGTCAACTTGTTCATTTGTTATATAGGCTGCTGAATAAATTCCTAGACAGCATTTTGAAGCTTGATTATTTTTAGAGCTTAGTTGTATGAGGTTCTGTCATACTTAGATAGTTGGGTTTGTTTCATGTGTTTGTATCATGAAGCTTTATATGCCCTCATATGTATTATGAGACCTGACTAATTTTGACGGTGGATACAGTCATCAGCCACTCGAAACTCATTGGTGGCTCTGGATGAGCTTGGGCGTGGGACCTCAACATCCGATGGTCAGGCTATTGCGTAAGTGTTTGTTGTGGGATTGCATTTGTTTCCTAGCGGTGTCAGTATTCATGATTGATTTTCTAACTACTTGCGAGTCCTCAGATTATGCTTTGTGATTTGAAATTTTTGGCAGGGAATCAGTATTAGAACATCTTGTACGAAGGGTGCAGTGTCGTGGATTATTTTCTACACACTATCATCGATTAGCCATAAATCATCTCAAAGATCCCAAGGTATACCCATTTTTTTGTCCTGTATAATAATCACTGGAATATTTAATTGCCCTCCAATGCTTGTATCTTTGAATGCTTAAATATATTGATGTACATGACCTTCTATACAGTAAACAGTTATATAGATATCATATCTATAGAAAGCTTACATTCTAGTCTAATAGTTTGTTCTACCTTCCATTTTTGCTAGTGTTTGAGAATATAATTATATTGAGTTGGCTTTTCCTGCATTTGTTGTTAAGGTCTGTCTCTCTCACATGGCATGCCAAGTTGGTAGTGGAAATGAAGGTTTGGACGAAGTCACCTTTCTTTACAGGCTGACTCCTGGTGCTTGCCCCAAGAGCTATGGTGTTAATGTTGCTCGATTAGCCGGTATGTTGTCTTGTTGCTTTGAACTATCATAAACATTATTTCACTTAACATCCAAAATCTACCTGTTGCATTAATTTAGTTTATTGAACACTTATATTTAAGGCTTTTTTAAAGCTTAAGCTTGTGCTGGCACTTACAAAATACATATCAAGACGAGTTAACACAGTCTTTTCCATCACTTTGGAATACACTTATTGTGTGATATGCTGATTATGCTGGTTGTTATGAATGTATTAAACCTCGCCTCTATTTAATTTCAGGACTACCTACATCTGTGCTTCAGAAGGCTGCTGCCAAGTCCAGAGAATTTGAGGCCAGTTATGGAAAATACAGAAACGTGGCTTCAGAAACAAACTGTTTGAATCAAAGTTGGGTCGATAATATAATAGGAGTGGTACAAAAATTAAATAACGCTGCTACAAATTTGAGTTGTGACGAGGCTGTTTCTGATAGTTCCCTAATGAAGCTTCAACATAAAGCAAGAAAGCTTCTACAGCAATGTTAAACTATTTCAAGACATTATAATCAGGAATCCAGAAGTCAGCTTGTTAGGATATATCTGGGTTGAAATTTGTATATGTTGGTTGCCCAACATATCTGTTTTGTTGATTGTAAATAGTTGCAATGAAAGTGGTGATAGAGATTGCATACTGCATTAAGTAATAGAAAATCTCAAGATGTATATTGATCAGAAATCAATTGTCTATATTTATGCCAGAAAATTTTGGAATTTAACAAAGCATCATCATTCATGATTACTCTGATACACATTTAAGTAAATAATCTATGAATGTATTAAATTTTCTTGGTGAGTTGCATCATTTCTGTCATTTTCCTCAGGAAGTGATGTGTCATAATCAGAATCACGATAGCGCCGAATACTATTCTGAATGGCTCCAATTGTCTTTGTAACTATGTACATGGGTATAATAATTCCAAGAGCCTTCAGTACAATGACCTACAATAAAATTAGTTCATACAACACCATTTAGTTCGGTTATCGACAAGCATCAATTCACATCCTTAAAAATTAAGACACTACTCACTGTAAGAGGTGTAAATGGGTAATCTTCAGCTCCATTTGTAGGCACTACGAGACAATGTCTTACCAATAACACAACTGTAAACTGCAGAAGACAAATACAAGTTATTTTGAATAAGTCAATATATGAATTTTATTTTATTTATTACTACTATTAAGAAAAATACACATAGTGCTTACAGCTATTGCAAGTGATCGACAGTGAGTCGCACTTCTATCAGCGGTAGAACTGCATTCTGAATAATCACTTTCTATTACAGTTCCTTCCACCATATTTTCTCTTACTTCTGAACCTTCTTCCTCTACCCTGAAAATGTAGAAGAATTATTTATTTATTAATTATAATGTGTTGTTATTTTTTAAAGTATCAAAACAATTAATACGCAACACCAAATGTATATAATATAGTTGCTCCCTCATGTGTAGCTAAGACGTAAGAATGTGAAATGATTGATTAAATTAAATAATAAGTTCAAAGCTATTTTCAATTGAATTATTAAACGCGGTAAAGTACCTTATGGACATTGCTTCATCGTTTATCTCTGACTTCTTTGGAAAAGCTGTATATCCAGGTTCATATTGCTGCAAAAACAATTATCAACTTTAGCTGATCAACAAACTGTACACGTATCTTATATATTTAGAAACTAAAATTAAGACAATTTTTTTATTTTTAAATTTATTCGAAAGAAACCAACAAACAAATAAACCTTAAATGGATAGATTTCAATTTTGAGCTAAGGTTAGTAAAAGACAAAAACTAATGAATAAAGAAAAGATGAAAGAAATTTATGAACGTTTCAAATAAGTCAAAATCAGATAGGGAAGCCCATCCAATTTACGTCATAACATAATTTCTAACGATGACAAATTACGTGTCCAAACAGATAACTCTTTCTCTCTATCTTTTTTATAATTAAAAACAAAAAGTTAATTAACGATAACATTAAGAGAAAAAAATCAAAATTAATTAGAACATAAAATAAAAAGAACGTTATATGAAGGGTGCAAAAAAAGAAAGAAAACTGAATAATCTTAATTATCATATTTACCTGGAGACATATTTCACAAGTTGTATTTCCTTTTTCGTTACACCATCTTTGGATGCAATCTCTATGAGCAAACTGAAAAAAAAAGCACTTATTAATTAATCAAACTTAAAAAAGTTCTGAAAAACCATAAGCTTATAAACTATAACAGTTGTTTAATTAATAAACTATATGTTTTTTTTCTTACCTTAACGGTTCCAGAACAAGAACAAGGTGCTTCCAAGGTTTTGGTGCTTTCGAACTCTTCTTCATGGCAAATTCTACAGCGAGAAATTCCTGAAAGTAGCTTCAAATCATCGACTAGTAACACGATTTCTGCCATATTTTTCAAACGGTCACAACCAATGATCTTTTTTTCTTCTTAAAGTTTTAGTGTTTGTTTTCAAATTCTGTATCTTGCTCTGTTTTTCTCTTTTTTTATCGGTTCTCTCTTTGTATGTCTTTCTCACGAACATGGACTTTATATACGAAAGAAAGAAAGAAACAACTTTTGAGTTCCAATATTGCCCCTCTATGATATTTTAGGGAAACAATAAATATATATTAATATGACTCAGTCTCATATAAGCCTAACCATACTCATATATGTCATATATATCAAATAGTAACTCGAACATAATTTAAAATTAGATTCGATAAATAAATTGTTCAACTAACTTATGAATCAAATGATCTCAAAACGAAAATAAATAAATAAATTTGTTAATCAAATGAGCAAAACATGAATTATATACTAGTGAATTCAATTATATAAGAATGATTATATTAACTCTAAAATATGTTTAAAGTTTTACTTCAAATATTAATCTACTTTTTTTTTCTATTTTAAATTTAACTATTTTAATTGATTATTTATATTTTCAAGTGAGGAAAATCAACACCATATAAAAATCTTACTCATACTGTTTTTAATTTATTATTTCTAAAAATAATTATACAGAAAAAATCTATATTATATAAAAAAATTATACAGTGACTAAAGATTAAATATTTTTTCTATTTAATAAAATTCTTATATCAAATAAAAAGGTCAAGCGTTTTTTTTAGAAAAAGTTAAATTTCAATTTTATAATTTTTATTTTATTTTATTATTATTTTTTACAAATTATTAATTTAAAATATCAAATATATAAAAAATATATATTTTAAAAATTAACTTTTACATTCGTGAAACAAACAAACTGAACCTGATAAAATGAATTTAACGAGTTGAACTGAGTTGTTTGTAAACTTAAAAAAAATCGAATTTAAGTTTAAAATAAAGTTCAGGTCAAACTCGAGCTAAATTTCAAATTGAACCAATTCTTATCGAATCGAACCGAGTTGAGTCGAGTTCGATTCAACTCGATTCATTACCAGTCTTAATATCAAAATAAAAATTTACAGATATGCATATTCAATCTCTATTGACAAATATTCGATCTCAAACGACAAAAATCAATATTATTAAATTAAACATTAATATTAAAATTTAAATTTGTGAGAATTTTTAATAGTTATTATCTTGTGGTATAAAGATAAAAAGAATTATTAAATAAATCTCAAAGAATTTATGAATATAGAAAAAGATCCTAATCCACTAAATTACTAAATTGCTATGTATACATATTTATTATGAATAAAGTTTTTATATTTTAACCATATTTATTATCAATGTGATTTATATAATATATAATTACAATAAACTTTTATTTAGACCAAATTATAGGTTTAGTTTTTCAATAATTCATGATATTAATCCTCTATTTTAAATTTAAACAACTTTGATTCCTTCTTACAATTTTTTTATATAATTGATGAGAAATTTGTCTTTTAATTTATACTTTTATCTTCAAAGTTTTACAGTAAATTTACAAACAATAATTTATCATATTTAACAAGTAATTTTTCATTTAAGAAATAAAAAAAACATTCTTTTAAATGCAAAATTACGAGAGAGGCCAAAATTATTTAAATTTAAAATAGAGATATCAGTTTTATGAATTAGATAAAATAGAAGAACAAAATTTTAAGCCTTTTATTTATTTTTATTATTATTAAAATATTATATTAATTTGACCAAATCATTTTAATCTTACAAATTTATTTGAGAATGCCTTTTTTTATAGTGAAAGATTAATTTGATAATTTATTGAATTTAATTGATATATATTCACATTGTAAATAACTATTAAATATTTATATGTTTGATTTTTTAATCACATCTAAATTATGTTTAGTGGTTATGCAATAACATTATAAAATAGTTTTACAGTGACATTCAATATAAATTCATCACTCAATCATGTTACACCAACAACTTAAAAATTACAGTTTTATTTAATGGGATACACGAAGGTGAATGATTGAGAGTATAAAATAATTTATACTATTAATGGATGTTCTTCATTCTTAAATTAATTTTAAATAAAAATTAAATTAAATTAATTTTTTTTTCTCAAATTAAAATTTTATTTGATGAAATACATGACATTAATTTATATTTTATTTTCTCAAATTAATTTTAAAATTAAAATTAAATTAAACATTTTAAAGTCAAATAACATAGTGACGAAACTCATACTTAATTTTATTTTTCAAATTTGAATTGCATTCTAACACATTAAATATTTCTGTAATTATGAACTAAACATAATTTACAACACACTTAATTTAATTGAGTAGTAAGGTTGTTAATTAAATTAAAAAATGAGTAATTTTAATGAGATTCCTTGGTCATACATAAAAGTAACACAATCTTAAGCTATGAAAAATCAAAGGAGAGAATGGGAAAAGAAATGTATGTTTGTGTATTGATAGGGAAGGAAAGTATAACTAAGAATGATATCACAAGATACTTGTATTGTATTTGAAATTTGAAAATTCTTAGGCACTACTCCATCTATTATATCCTTTGACATTTCAAAGTATGTTTCATTTATGAGACCACCTTTTCAATTTTCCCGTTGTTTGCTCATATTTGCTTGCGTTGACAATCAACCCTAAATTCCAATGCGCAGCACCAACTAACCCTAGCATCATCATAAATGCTACCTTTTCTTCATTTATCTCCTAAGATTTCTAGTTGCAAACATGAGAAATTGTTCTAGATATAATCAACCATCCTCAAAAGAGATTTTACAAAATTTTGAGCTCTACTTTACTTTGCATTTCCATGTCTTATTTATGGACGAGTAGAAAACAAATATAAATATGTAGATTTCACTCGTGTGTTTTTTTTGATAGTATGAATATTGATGACTAAAAATTTTACGGTAAGATATATAACTCTCAAAAATCGTTTTAAATAAAATGATCAAACATAAAAAAAAAACACGTTTTTTATTATTTATTTTTGACTTTTGATTTCTTTTAACACTAAAAATGAATCTTAAAAAAATGCATAATAATGTTGATTTTTCATTAAAAAATGTAACTTATTACATATATGTGCATTCTATTTTAATATAAACTTTATTCATTAATTAATCATTAAAATTTATTAAAGTTGACAACTTAAAAAATTTTAAATATGATTTTTTTGGTTTGCCATCATAAAAAGATATATGCACAACTTATTATTATTGCATTGTTTACATTTTATATTTATGTAAATTTTATTCATTAATTAATCTTTAAAATTTATTAAAGTTGACAATTTTAAAAATTTTAAGGGTCATGCCGTCACGAGAATACTGATTAAGAATTTAAAATATAAAAAATATATTATCTTTATTTCAGTTAATTTAATATACACAATGTCTTTTTTTAAAAATTGATTATTTATCTTTTTAGTGCATTAAAAAAAAAAAAAACACACACACACACATATATATATATATATATATATATATATATATATATATATATATATATATATATATATATATATATATATATATATATATATATATATATATATATATATATATATATATATATATATATATATATATATATATATATATATATATATATATATATATATATATATATATATATATATATATATATATAATAATAATAATAATAATAATAATAATAATAATTTTTTTTTTAAACTCTTAAATAATAATTAATTTATCATTTTAATTTTTTAACCGGTGTCCGAAGCACTAATTAGCCTTTCTCAAATTTTAAATATAATCTTTTGATTTGCCATAATGACACAACTTATTATTTCATGTTTACATTCTATTTTTATATAAACTTTATTTATTAATTAATCTCTAGAATTATATTAAACTTGACAACTTAATTTTTAAAAAAATATTATATACATTTCGATATTATCATAATTTTTTATTCTAAAAAATAAAAATAATTACATGATTCCCACAATTATAGTAATTTAGAATGATGTATTCTATTGTTAAATGTTTAATTTATATGGATAATAATTTTTTTACTTCTGCTTTATGAATATTTATTTATTTTTAAAAATGATATAATGGAGTGATATTATAAAGTGACTATATTATATAGACATGTAAAAAAAAATTAGTTAATCAAATTGCTAAATTAAATAATTTTAGATAATTAAAAGCACTATTTTTTGAATGGTTAACACTTTGGTCATAGAATCTCAATTGCAAATTATATTAACTTGTGAAATATGAATTAAAAATGTGAATAAAAGAGTAAAAATTAAACAATATATTTAATAATTTTTATAAAATTAAATAATCATTTATGCATTAATATTCCATTAAATATTAAATTAATTATTAATTTCTTTTTAATTTGGTATTAACAAGGACTTTAATTTTTTTAATTATTAAAATGTATCACATCAAATATTCTTTATCCATCAACATAATTAGAAAAGAATAAAAAAGAAACTACATAAATTAGAATTTATATCCCAAAAAAATGAAATGATAAGAGGGAACATCATGTGTACCTTTTTAATAGTATTTAATTTGTAGGGTGAGAATGAGATACTTTTTGAACAAGTGCCCATTTAAGGTTTAAGTGTAGGACATATGATTCTTCACCAACGGTAACAAACCTTTCAAACAAACTGAAATTTGAAATCTTGGGTCCATTCTTTTCTTTTGTAAGTAAAATGGACCCCTCTTTTTTATTACATCTAGGATAAATCATTACACAAATCAATTTCTTCAATAATTAAGCATTCAGTTTAAAAGGTTTTTAGGAATTTATTCATTTTTTTAAAATTACTTAAAAAAGTAAATGATAAATATTTATTAAAATTTTATTTTATTTATTTATTTTTTAAATTTGTAATTATTAATATAATTTTTTTTCTATAACTTCTTATCACTTCAATCTCTACTCATCATTTGCAAGAAATTATATTTTTATAAATAATCTTAAGCC